TGAGGCGTGCTCTTCTCTGACCTTCAGCGCTCGCGCTTGTGAATGTCGCGCTCGCGACTTGGGCGTTTTTCTTTGTTGAGACTTGCTTCGTAGCGCGACTTGGGCATGCCACTTAGCATGGCTAGGGCGTGCTTAGTTCTTGAGTTCCACTTTTTCCTACAAAAACTCTTAACTAAACAGAAGAACACTTATGGAGAAAATTTGGGATTTTGACAAATAAAATAGGGAATAAAAATAAATAAATGGACGAAAATTTAATAAAAATATATAGGTTGTCTCCCATGAGCACTTTTGTTTAACGTCGTTAAGTTCGACGCACTTATCTGAATTTAGGCTAGGCAAGACCAATTGTAGTCTTGATGGGTTCACATTATAATAGCGCTTCTCAAACGTTGAGCATTTACCTTAAACATTCGATTCGACTACCATCCCACTATTTCATCGCGCATGAGGAAGAAGATTAAAGATTTCCTTGATTGTGAATGGTCCAGACCACCTAGAGCGCAACTTACCAGGAAATAATCGAAGTCTAGAGTTATAGAGCAACACCTGCTGGCCTATCTTTAGATCCCTCATGATAATGCGCTTATCATGCCATTGTTTGGTGCAATCTTTGTATATTTTGGCATTTTCATAAGCGTGAAGGCGCATTTCATCCATCATGTTTAGCTGTAGCAATCGCTTCTGACCAACCTCCTTTGCATTAAAGTTAAAAAATTGAATGGCCCAAAACGCCTTATGTTCTAACTCTACAGGAAGATGACAAGCCTTACCATACACCATGCACCATGCGATATGGAGACATACCTATAGGTGTTTTGAATGCAGTTCTGTAGTCCCATAGAGCGTCGTCTAGCTTTTTGGACCAATCTTTTCGTGATTGTCCAACAGTGGTTTCGAGGATCTTTTTGATTTCTCTGTTAGTGACCTCTACTTGTCCACTGGTTTGAGGATGGTATGGAGTACCTACTCGATGAGTGACACCATATTTTGCAAGAAGGGAGTCTAAATATCGATTACAAAAATGCTTACCTCCGTCCGTGATTATCGCCCTGCCATGCCCTTGTAATGACGTGTAAAAATATACTTCTTGATAAAATTCATTACACTCTTGGCATCATTGGTTGGAAGAGCAACAGCTTCTGCCCACTTTGATACATAGTCCACCGCCACTAGAATGTATTGGTTGGAATATGATGATGGAAAAGGTCCCATAAAGTCCAGACCCCAAACATCGAAGATTTCGACTTCAAGGTTGCTAGTCAAGGGCATCTCATGTCTCTTCGAAATATTACCTAACCTTTGACAACAATCACAAAGACGAACAAAGTTAAAGGCATCTTTAAATAGGTAGGCCACTACAAACCACTTTCCAATATACGTGCTGCTGTCTTGTTTGCTCCAAAGTGTCCTCCACATTCCATTGAATGGCAAAATTTAAGAATACTTTCCATCTCTGTTTCCGGTATGCATCGCCGAAATAGCTGATCACTACAATATTTGAACAAAAAGGGCTCCTCCTAATAGTAGTATTTGATATCATGGAAGAATTTTTTCTTTTGTTGATAGGAAAAGTTGGGAGGAGGGATTTTGCAAACAAGGTAGTTGACTATATCAGCATAACGAGGGGGTTTGAGCATTTGCCACTAGAAGAAGTTGCTCATGGGGAAAGCTTTCATTGATTTGTAGCTCGCTCGTATCTTCTTCCCCCAATTCAAGCCTGGACAATTCAAGCCTGGAAGATGGTCAGGCAATGAGGTTCTCGGTCCCCTTTTTGGTCGCGATTTCTAGGTCAAGACTCTTGTAATAAGAAGTCACCCAACGAATGAGTCTTGGGCTTTGCCATCTTCTTTTCCAGCAAGTATTTGAATGGCGGAGTGATCCCTGTTGTAGACTATTGTTTTAGCTCCAATAGATATGCCCTGATTTGGTAAAAAGCAAAAAAATTTGTCAAAAGCAAAAACAATAGCCAACAATTCTTTTTCCGTAGTTGCATAGTTTAATTGCGCATCATTCAATGTGCGACTCGCATAATAAATAACTTGCAACTTCTTGTCTTTTCTTTGTCCAAGAATAGCTCCTACAACATGATCACTAGCATCACACATTAGTTCAAAAGGTAAAGTCCAATCTGGTGTAGTGATGATCGGGGCTGAGATTAACCCCTTCTTCAACCTATTAAAAGCATCTAAACATTCTTTGTCAAAATCAAATGGAACATCTTTAACTAACAAATTGCAAAGAGGTTTAGTGATTTTGGAAAAGTCTTTTATGAACCTCCTGTAAAACCCTGCATGCCCAAGAAAACTTCTTATGCCCTTCACTGGGAGGTAGTTTTTCAATCACCTCAATTTTTGCCTTGTCGACGTCAATCCCTTTTTGAGAGATTTTATGCCCTAGGACAATACCTTCATTAACCATGAAGTGACATTTTTCCCAATTTAAAACAAGGTTAGTATCTTCACATCGTTGCATTACTAAAGATAAATTATGAAGGCATGCATCGAAAGAAGTATGAAGGCTGCAATCAAAAAGGAAGAACCAAAGCAGAAAAAAATCATCCATGAATATTTCAATAAATTTTTCCAACCATATCAAGAAAAGATGGAACCATCATGGCACGCTTTGAAAGGTTCAGGGGCATGCATAGGGGCATTGCATAGCCCAAAAGGCATTCTCCTATAGGCAAAAGTGCCATAAGGACAAGTGAATGTAGTTTTCTCTTGGTCTTCAGGGGCTATAGCTATTTGGAAGTACCCTGAATAGCCATCTAAGAAACAATAAAAAGGATATCCTGTAAGCCTTTCAAGCATTTGATCAATAAAGGGAAGGGGAAAGTGATCTTTGCGTGTTGCTTTATTTAATTTTCTATAATCTATAGACACACGCCAACCTGTGACTGTTCTTGTGGGGATTAATTCATTGTTTTCATTAAAAATAACAGTCATACCTCCCTTCTTTGGAACAACTTGGACAGGGACTTACCCCAATTACTGTCTGAAATTGGAGATAAATGATGCCGGCATCAAGAGTTTAATAATTTCAGCCTACTACCCCTTCATGTTAGGAATTTCAGTCGCCTTGGTGCTCGATTGAAGGTTTGTAGTTTTCTTCCAATCAAGATTTTATGCACTGCACACATCTTGGGCTTATTCTTGTAGATCTGAGATAGACCCATCCTAATGCTTTCTTGTGCCTTTGTAAAACCTGCAACAACCTTTCCTCTTGATCAAGCGTTAGTGAGAAAGAAAATAATAACAGGAAAAGAATGGTTCTCACCTAGAAAATGATGTTTTAAATGAGGTGGAAGTTGTTTCAGTTCATGCTTAGGAAGTTCTTTTCTTTTTCATTCAAAGATGCTTGACTCATTAGCATTATTTTCCAAACATGCAAAGTGGTCCTCCACAATTCATTGACTACGTCAATTCCTAAGACAGTCTCCATGGATTCCATAGGGAGTTACAAAGATTTAAGTAGCATCAAATAACAATCTTTCCTGTCCAACTCTAAGAGTCAACTTACCCCATAGACATCTATCAATGCTCCTTCGCAGTTGCAAGAAAAGGTCTTCAAAAGGATTAGAGATCCTTCCCTGGTCTTCATCAATATCAAGAATAACAAATCAACAGGAAGATGAATGTACCTACCCTTTACAAGCACTTCTTTCTACATCCTCTAGGATTATTTAATTGGAAACGATTCTGCTAATTGGCAAAGACATCCTTGTTGGTTTTGAGCTCTCCCATACCTAACATCTTAAAAAACTTCCAATAGGACATAAGTTAAATGCTAGCACCTAATCTGCCTAAAGCCTTTTCAAAAGTCAAGATTACCAATGTTTACAAGGGATAGAAAAACTTCTGGATCTTTTAAAACTTTGGAAGTTTTAACTTTGGAGGCAGTTTGTTTTGAATAATTGCACTGCACTCCTCGGTTAACATTACCGTTTCTTGATCATCAATTTTTCGTTTCTTGCTCAATATATCTTTTAGGAATTTAGCATAGCTAGGCATTTGAGCAAGAGCTTCAGCAAAAGGAATATTATTTGAAGCTTCTTAAACACATCCAGAAACTTGAGGAAGCTCTTGTCATCTTGTGCTTTCTTTAATCTTTGTGGAAAGGGAACAGGGAGAACATAGGGTTTTACCTCTTCTTTTTCCTCTAAATCAATGATAGGCACTTTTGATTGTTCTTTTTCCTCCTTTTCTTTCCTCAGTGGTTCATCTAAAATTGTTTGCCATCCTCAAGGTGATAGCATGCACCTTGTTCTTTTGGATTCTTTTCAGTATTGCTAGGTAACCGTACTTAGATGCCATCATGTTTGCGAACTGCCCTAACTGAATCTCCAAATTCCTGATTGCAGCTTGCTGGATTTTATGGTTCTCCCTGGTTTCATTCATGAATTCCATCTGTGATTTGGAGAGGGCAGTGAGGAGGTCATCATGAGATTTCTTTTCTGGAAGGTGGAGCCCTGGGGGTGTATTCAAAGCATTGTTAGGATTACCATAAGATAGGTTAGGATGATTCCTTAACCTGTTATCATATGAATTCGAATAAGGGTAATTCTTTCTTCCTTGATTCATCACATAGTTCACTTGCTCCAAAGTCTGCGGATTTAAGGAGTCCATGATGCATTCCCCGATTCCATGTTGTCCATTGCACCTATCACACACTTGCATAATCGAATTCACAGGATTAGTGGTTAACATGTCCAATTTCCTTACCATATTATCTACCTTGGCATTGAGTGCTGTAATGGCGTCTATTTTGGCAATTTAAGTGCTAGTATATGGCGTCTATTCATAGACTCCTGCGGTTCTTTCTTCTTTCGGTATTATTTTGGTAGTGGCTGTTGCTTGCCATCTCCTCTATCAAATCATAAGCTCATCAATTCCTTTTTTTTCAAAGATCCCACCTCAGCTGCATCTAGAGTAAAATTTTGAATGTTAAGGAAGAATAAATGCATTATAAAAAGTTTGTAACCTGTAGCCACTTGGGCAAACTGATGATGCGGGCCTTCCTTAAGCAAGTCCTTGAATCTTTCCCAAGCTTCGTAAACAAGCTCTCTTGATCATGATGAAGCAAATGTCATTATCTTCTTACGCAGCTTGGTGGTTTTGGAGGATGGGAAAAAAAGAATTTAGCTAGAAATTTTTGAAGCTAATTCAATCCATGTTGTAAAACTTCAGCGGGACACGATTGTAACCATGATCTAATTTATCCCTAAGAAGTAAAAAGGAAAAGCCCTCACTTGATTGCAATCTTCAGAAACCCCATTTTGTTTGAATGTGTCACAAATTTCCAAAAAATTGGTGATGTGAGCATTAGGATCTTCACTAGGCAACCTCCATATTGGGATTCGAGGTAGAGAGCATTTGGATAATTGGCAAGGTTTAAATCTCAAAGTATTAGCTTCTAACCCTAGGTCCTTGTAATAACTTGAGGTTGGTTCCCATTCAATAGGTGTTGTATTAAGGTACGGATCGGATGTTGAAGTGGTGGTCCAACTACGTTTTCGTTTCTGTTTTCGTTTTCGTTGGCCATGTCTGCTTGTTGTTCGAATTTTATTTCTCTTGCTTTTCTTGCAGCGTTGTGCCTACGACAAGTTCGCTCAATTTCCGGATCAAAGATTAGAGGTTCAGTCCTTCTCAATCTTCTTTGCATAAAACACCTGGAATAATTCGTAGGAGAAAATTAAGTAAAAATAAAAAGAGTGTCTAAATTAACAACAGGGTAATTCGTATTGATATTGATATGCCAATCCCCGGCAACGGCGCCAAAAACCCAAAAACTTGACAGCGGTTTTCGCAAGTGTACGAAATCGCAACAAGTAATATAGAGTAAGAAAGTATCGTATCCATAGGGATTGTTTCTCAATTACCAAAATTATGTTAACCTATTATTATTTAGACGATGATGAAAGGAATTCGCTGTAAAGTAAATAAAATTCAAAGTAAAAGAGATTAAACACAAAATTTAGGTGAAAAGAAATCAGGGGATTAAGCTACTAGGGAATTTGATTTCATTTAATTCCATCCAGCCTATTCTATTAGTTCATTAATCAAGTTTAATTGTTCAAGTAGGAGAAAACAACCCTAAGGTTACTAACAAGCTCTCCCGATTTATTGTTAGCTATTATATTATAGTTGAATTAAACATGAATCAGATCATTAGTTTTTATGGTTGTTTATGAATCACAACTTGTAATACTTTTATTAACTGATGAAAAGCCCCCTTGGTCCAAACCAATATTTCCACATCAAGTTTATTCTCAAGTAAAATATACCTTGTTCATATCAATTTTCATATCAATAACCCTTCTCCCGAATGTAATTATTGAAATGGTTCAATCCAGGGGAAATTTTCTGCCTGGAAGCCTTAAGCACAATAATAAGTTATAACAAGAACAAAGAAAAATAAATCTAATATTATAAGCTGCAATCAAATTAAATTACATCAAATCCCTAGTATAAAAGTTTAGCTAGACATAGTAATTAAATTAAGATCAATCATACTTGAATCATTCATTATATTTAAAGACAATAATAAAGAAAGAAACAAGATGAAGAGTTAGAATAAAAACTGTATCACAACTATGCTCCTTTGAACTTAGCACAATTATTTGACAGCTTGAAAGCTTTGAGAAGAAGAGAATTATGTAAGTGTGCACAAAAAATGAGATCCCTACTATGAGATCCTCCCTATATAGCAGATCCTGAAGGCAAGGTCTGACTCCTTTTAGGAAAATAGAATCCTATGTAGGCACCAAAATCCTTTATAGGAGATCATAAACTGTTTAGGACTCTTGATTTCTTCTTGATTAGGACTCCCTTTTTTCTTCAAGAATAGGTCCAGGCTTGTTAGTGTGGTAGGAAAACTCCCTGGAAGTCGCCCATGTGAGAAAGGCTTTTTGCGTGTTAAATTCACGCTGTTCCGCCGGCAACCATGGGCCAGCACCGGCGTGCTTCATGCACGGGCTGGGCGTGCTCTTCTCTGGAATCGTCTAGAGTTTGCCATGGGCTTGCTATGCTTGGGACACGCCCTGGTCCCTTGTTAGCATGCGTGCACTTTTGACACACCCTGGCCGTGCCTCTTCTGTCTCTCCTTTTTACTTGGCTTCTAACACGGCGTGCCTTGATCCAGCACGGCTGGGCGTGCTAGAAGCTGAGCTGCCTTGCATCTAAAGTTCTTTCTGCGCCAAATTTCTGCAATTTCTCTTAGATCAAGCGGATTAAAAACCAAGGAAGCTTTAAACACCAATTATACTAAAAGGATTAAAAGTGATTTAAAATTAAATTAAAGAAGTAAAAACTTACTAAAATTCTAATAAAAACTATATTAAAAACACTATAAAATTTACACTTATCACTAATATTGCTCTTTTCTCTCATATTGAACACTCCCTAACGCAATCTTAGTAGTGTTAAGTTGTTTGAGTAACTTTTTCTCAAACGCTAAAAGCTAAACGTTAGATAGGTTAACTTTTTATAAAACATTATCTTAACCTTTAAAAGTTAATTCAAATATTGTGTTACCAGACACTATAAAAATACACTCTTTGTCATAATATATAGTCATTTAAGGTTTTTCACGGAAATTAAGGAAATAATTAATTCTTTTAAATTATATTAAACTTAAGAGTAACTTGACTATATTATGCTTTATCTCAAAACTATAATTTGTGAATGTAGTTATTGTATCTATTATAAATAAGGTTAGCATTAAAAAAATATTATTTATTACTCCTTAAAATACTCAAAACACTTATATTTTGGGATAAAATAAACACCCAAAAACAACTTATATTTTAGAACAGATGAAGTACCGTTCAATGTTTTGATTAGTCAAAAACGCTAAAAGTTATTTGAAGACAGACCGTGGAATACAACCTAGATAATAAAAGAGGGATGGGACAGATACACAACCTTATGGTGCGATCACTTGTAGAAAACTAGAGTAATTTTCTAGAAAAATTTTCCAAGAAAACTAGAAAACAGAGTTTTGTGTTTAAATCAGTCAGTTTTCTATTTGAAAAACTAGAAAACAGTTTTCTAAAATTTAACTAAAATTTGGAAAACAGTTTTAAGTTGTTTTCAAAAACAGTTTTAAGTGTTTTCCCAGAATTTTCCTTTATTAACCAAAAAAAACATGTTCCAACTGTTTTCCAGCTTTTATTTAAAAATTGACATTGTCATAATGAAAATTATAATATTATAAATAATTTTTCGATAAATATTTTTATTTGAAAAAATAAAAATATTAAAATAATAAAATTTTTTAATTATTATGCTTGTAATAAATAATAATTTATTATTACAAATATATTTATCCTTTATTTTAAAAAATTTGAAAAAAATGATAAAAAATGATAGTTATTATTATAAAATAATCGTATAGTAAAAATTCAAAAAACTTTTACATACCAAATTTTTTAGAATTTATGTGTATAATATTTTATTTCTTTTAATTATGAAAGTTTTTAAATTTATTTTATAATATTTTATTTCTTTTAATTATGAAAGTTATGAATAATGTTTATGAAGTTAAATTAAAATATAATTTTTTTTATTATTATCAAGATAACGCATTTTTCATTTTTTATTTTCTAATTTTTATTTTTTTAAAAAATTATTTTATTAAAAGATAAAAAATAAAAAATAAAACATAAAAAAAACGGTTTTTTGTAAGCAAACGCAATTTTAATGTCTTTCTACTCCTAATATCGCTCGTTTCTTTCTTGTTGAACACTCACATCGTAGGCTAGGCTTAAGCTAGTTATAACAGCTATACAAATTAAGACTAGCTAGCCTAGCTGCATAATTTGCTTGTTCATTACCCTCAAAATTTCTATAAAATTAGAAATATATTTAATTATATTACTTTTCTTTAATTGTAATTAATAATTACATTACCTTTTATTACAATTTATTCGTGAAATCATAATTAAGAACTGAAATAAATGACCAATCCTAAAATTTTGATAGACATACATGCATAGATACACACCTACACTAACATATATATATATATGTGAATGAGTATAAATCATTTGGCATTATTATTTTGATAAAAAACCTTATTATAATTAATCTCTTTTGTTCTTTTATCCATTGCATAATTAAGAAATTTTGAGAAGTAATAAAAAACACACACAAAAAAAAAATATATTGATGAATGAGCACAAAATAAAAATGCAAGGATTTTACCTAAAAATTACAAATCTAAGAAATATAAATGAGCTCATTGAATTGATAAACTAAAAATTTAATTATATTTTATCTAAATTGAAAAGAAACAAAATTATACATGTATATAGAATTAAATTGAATCAATCAATTTAATTTGAATTTTAAGCAAATTAACTTATTTTCTATAAATAAACCGAAAATCAAAATTAAAGTTATCTAAATAATAAAAGAATATAATCGATCAATAAAAGAAAATCAAACTATATTAATTCAATTTAACTTTTTTTATTTTACCCTATGTGTGTTAATTTTTTGAAAGAGAGGGAATGTAATTTTCAAGGCACAAGTGAATGGAATATATTTCTTCGGATAAATAAACACGGTTGCTCATAGGTTAGCTAGAAAAGCTTGTAATCAAGTTGATTTTCCCTTGTGTACAAAAAGTTCTATCCTCTCATATGCTATTCTTGGTCAATAAATTATCCCTTTTCATGTCAAAAAAAAAAAAAAATGAATGGAATATATGTCTTCAGGTAATTTTTTTTAATCTATAAGGAATTTAATTTTTTTTAAAAAATATTTTGATTTACACATTGAAATTAATATTGAGTTTAAAATATAATTTATAATAATTAATTTTATTTAATTTTTTTGGATACATATTTAATATTTATTTTCATTTTGATTTCATGTGATGTGATAGACATCATACAGGCACAGGTTGTGGAGAAGCCAAGGACGAGTGACGTTATTAGTTTATTAATTGCAAGAGGTTGACAACTTAAGCTGCCTTCCAAATGGTAACTGAGCACAATCCGCAGGAAATTCTGACCCGTTTTTAAATCTCTTCCTAATTTTTATTTTCAACAAAAATTTAATAGTTTCGAAAGTTTTTTGAAATGAGATAGGTTTTTTTTTTTAT